GCCTTTATCGCGTCTTTATCAGCTTCAACCGGCCTTCCCGAACGTGGTGCATCTTGGACATCAAAATTGCCGGATCGAAATTTAGCGAACCAGTTCTGGCACTGACGTACTGTCAACACACCTTCTCCATACTCATTAGTCAATTTCTTTCTGGCTTGAACAGCATTTTTACCCTTTCTGTAGTAAAACAGTATCGCTCTCCATATTTAAAAGGGCACCAATCAAAAACTACTGCGTAGAATTAATTGGAATTTTTCGCACGCAAGCCTTGCTATATGAGCCCTCAAAGCATATAAAAATTATACGGCTTAAATGTGAAGTTGGGTGCAAAAGAATACAATTAAATCCTCTGTCGGGAAAAAACGAAATGACTTTCCGAACAACCCNAACTAGTTTTTTACCTCTGCTTCTAGTGTCAACACATAATTTTCCAGTGGGAGTACTGTAATTTGATAATGACCCATTTGTATTATATGAAGACCATGATGGAGCAGCTCTTGATAAAAGTTCTCTTGTTCATGAGATTTTATCTAAACGGAATGATTGATCCAGTGTTGAGCTATGAATAGATGGATTTCGACTATTAAGTTTTGATCTTACTTCTTGAATTTAATTAAATCACGTAAGTTTTGGCTTAAACCTATTGTAAGAATTGAATTAAGAAATTTAAAAAAAATAATTATACTCTAATCATGCAAAAATGCTTCTGACAGCATGTTTATGAGATTTTTCATTATTTTACGTGCAAATCGTAAATGTATTAGAAGTATATAACGAGTTTGTTAGCACATCTTCTGTCACAATGTAAGCTATGATAAATGTTTAAATTAAAATAAAATTAATGTAAATAAAAGACGTTCTACCTTGACTTTGCAGATTTTGTCAGAATTCCTCCGCGTTGTAGTCTGTACATATTTTTTNCATATAAAAATTATACGGCTTAAATGTGAAGTTGGGTGCAAAAGAATACAATTAAATCCTCTGTCGGGAAAAAACGAAATGACTTTCCGAACAACCTGATATTTTAAGCACGTTCAACCAACTAATTTGATTAGGTCTACGATTAAGCTACTACAATATCTTGCAAACACTTCCGAAAACTCTTAGTTTTACATTTTTTTTTGTTTTGTCAGAAAAATCTGATACATAGTTAGTTAACATCTCTCCTTTCAGGAATTTGAAAGTCTTCGTACAAATTATCTCAATTTATTAATTACCACAACAGTAATCGTCTTATTGACCAAATATAAATACAATTATCAACCCTGGACTAAGGACCCTTTGGTGTCATACTAATCAATTGGTTTTACATTAAATGATTTTCAGGATCGCGAAGAAATGATGAAGCAGCTTTCGTGCGGAGAGTTCGACGGCAATCTTGACGACAAATCAACAAAGCCCTCCGTACAAATGAATTCATCACCTGATTTACCCATCTCGCCCGTTAACACTCCCGTTTCGACAGAAACAAAGACTACAAAACACTGGACTTCGAATACCGTGGACGTGGATGCATATTACCCTACGAGACATAGACGTGAGACTGACAACACATTGAGTTCATACGTAACAAGGAGCACTCTGAAAATTACTGACGACTCGAATATGAAAGTCGAAAATACGACCACTTCTCACGTTCTTTTAAGGGGAGACACGGTAGATGAGGTACAACACAATCTTTCAACAACTAACAAAGAGGAAAAGGACTCTTCATTTACTACGGATCCGACAACGTTCGTATTCAAAGCGTCCCCGGTAACTCAAGAGGACACTAACGAGTATCCAGGCGTCATCAATCAGGGACAGTTATTTAGTCTCTTGGACAATGTCACTTTTGACGTAGTAGACTTGAACGAAACAGGCACAGTAGAGAACGGTCCCGTAAAGGAGTATTTGCTAACTACTGAACAACAGGGACAAAAACTTACCACCAACGTAAACAAAGAAACGACCACACCAAGAACCACCCCTAACGAGATAACAATCACAACGGTTTTGTACCAGAAAGAACCGCCTCAAGATGAAATGCCTGTGACAAACAAAGACCTTAAAAAACCGAAGAAAGAAATGGAAACTCAGACGTTCCCGACGAACAGAACATACGATGATATCGATAGCAACAATACCACCGACGCTGACATCTCAGACTCTAAAACTTCCTTAGATAAGAAAGTCGAGTTCGCCATATATCAAGCGTCAGAAACATCCCGCTCGCTGCACGAACAAAAGCCCCAAGATGACCTAATTACCAAAGAAAAAAACATTAAGAAAACATCGAAGGAAATAGAACTTTTTCCAATAGCTACGGATCCAAACGTTAAACTAAATCGAACGTTCAGAAAACAACTTCCTACGCCCACCAAATTTCCAAAAAAGTACGTTCAAGCCTCGACATACATTCCAAACACAAAATATTCTGGTACAAAGGATTCAAATGATAAAACTCGTCCGGTGACAGAAGAGATAAGCGAACACATTATTCTCGACGGTAATAAAGAACACAAGGTGGTGGAAATCAAACTCCATTCGTCGGAAAAGGAAAACATTACAAAGTTGGTAATAACGACGAAACGTTTGAAACAAAATGAAAGCCCAGATAGCGCTGATGTTAAAAAAGTACCCAAAACAAAAAGTCCAATCAAAAATGACAATGAAACAAAGTTTTTATTGACTTCTGACTCGTTAAAACCAGAAGGAGGAGATATAATTTCAGACGGCAATTCTAAACAGGAAAAAATTCCCAGTATCACCGAGGCTTTTCCGTATTTCAAAAAAACGAACAAACTTAATAATCAACAGGAAATGTATGAAGAGCTCGCAAACCTCAATTCTAATTCCACTGACACGACTGAAGGACGCAATTTCAGTAAAGCAGACTTTGAAATCCAGCAAGCTCCTTTAAAATTAGATTCTGTGGAACCGGGAAACGGAGAAGAGTTACAGCGTTCGGTAAATGAAAATAAGTTGGAAAATAGTGAACCCACCTTGCAAAGCTTGCAATCGGAACCCGAAGTGAAGAAAAACCTTATCAGAAACAGAAAGGTAACCAAGTCCCAACGCACATCATATTATCCGTTCTTTATTGGCAGAGTAATTGGTTAGGCGAGCTCTGCTTTCACCACCAACATAACATGATGCTCTTAATGTACAAATGCGACTTTCCTTTCAATACAAAACTTTCATTCGCAAATTAAACGACATATAACATTCACCACTCCATTCAATCTAGATATAACCCAATGAAATACGTTACCTACTCTTTTAACATTTTTGCGTTGCAAAATATTTTATTTGGAGCTGAATTCAAACATAAGTAAATGTAGACAGGGGCGTCATTATCTTTTTTTTTATCTCTGGTCAGATTATGATATTAAAGAGAAAAAGAAACTTTCCCCCTTGGACAAACCAAGAACTGACTTCTATTAAGGGGATTCAGTAGTACACGCGCCGTATCGGTTCTATACATCATGAGTTTAATATTTGGAATAGGGGTTTGAAATTTTGTAGTAAGGTAGATAAAGCTATGTTCTAACGTCTATCGAACGACATTTTTTAATTTTTTAATTTCTATTGAAAATACGTGTCCTACAAGAACCATCAACTTTAAGCACTTGTACAAGCTTTTAATGGCCAAATTATTGAAAACCAAAAACGTACCGAGTTAGTGTGAACCTTTCTTTGTTATCATACAAAAAAAATCACATATTGATCTCGCAGCGTTAAATCACAATATGAAGAATAGAAACTCATGTTTTCTGAAAAATCATCGCGCTATGAGACCAATTCTGAAACTTGATTTGCCGGAGAGTTTTAATAACGATCAGGCTTTTTAATCGCCTAACTCAGTTTCTTAATCTGAAGTTCACAGACCCCTAACGGATCCATGTCATGAATACTAGAAGTCCTTGGCTAGCATAATCAATATACTAATTAATTCAATAATTTGAGGTGGTCTATTTGATTTTCCGTGCCATTACAGGAGACAGTTTTGCCCAGAATCCTTTTATTAAGAAAAAAAGGTGCAGAGTCCATTTTTGATTGATATTAATAACAACAGTGACAAAAAGCTTGTTCAGTATCATCTTATAAAATCCAACGTAGTATTGCGACTTGATTTCAATGCAAAATAAACGAGTCATGTCATGTCATTCCATTTAAACGAAAAATGGACGTGAAAGACGCTATACTCCTTGTGTTGTCAAAAAAAGCGTTTTTATTTTAATTTAAGCAGCAAGAATCTTCTCATAATACAATTGATAACCTTTAGAGTCCAGTCCTAGCTAATAAAAAGTATTTTTAATTGTGCTAGAATTCCATGTTAAGAGGTTTGTGGGATTTTTGAAATTTTGGAACTGGTCCGCGATTAGAAAAAGTTTAAGAAACCCTGGCCTTATATCGACGATATAAATATTATATATAAAAAAAATATGAGTGCTGTCAGCACAGGGCAAAGTAGTATTACGTAAATGAAAGTTA